AGCTGGGGAGGAAAGAGAGGCAGCACTTCAGCCCGCACCCGGGTCTTCAGCGGACTCGGCGATGGCAGACAGAAAAGCTGAGTCACTGCATTCCTCCATAGGGCTCTTGGGCATTCCCGCAGGTAGGGATCGAGCCTCTTGGCATGGGAAGATGGGGTTGGGACTAGCTTGCACGGACAACCCCCTTTCCAAAGGGGGCTAAAGAGTCTGTTTATTCTGAATCTTCTCTGCCTGGGTAAAGCTTTTAGATCTGGAGATCCCCGTGCCTGTTTCAGCAGCCAACAAAATATTTGTCTTGGCTCTCAAGCGCTGGCCTGAACTTTTGGACTCAGTCCATCCTGGGTGGGAAGCAAAGCAAAACTTTCTGGTCGTCATTTTCATAAATGATCTTTACTGGGATGCCCTTTCTTTCCCTTTCCTAGCCTTTCCCCCGCAGCTCTGCTCTCTGTGCTCACTCCCTTGCATTTGCTCCCTCTTTGCGTCCCGTCGTTCTGAGTGCTGCCCCTTTTCATTTTTTAGGCTGGTTTTCTGCAGCCACAAGGCTTCTGCACTCCTCTGTAGCGCGTGTGTGCGCCTGCCTGCCTCCTGTGTAACTGGAGCCGGAGAGCTGATTCTTGCCTTTATCTGACAATGGGGGAGCATTTTCAAACACGATTAAGTTTGAGTTTGTTCAAACTAGGCACCCAGAAAGAAGTGGGACCGTGGGCACAAACCAAGTTACAACCTCCCCCCCCCCAGCTCCTTATATTTCATTATTTTCAGATCTTGTGCTGCTATTTTTTTCTCTGTCCCTTGCTCTTGCCAGTCTGGTTCTCTCCTGGGGTTTTGGGCAAAGTTTACAATTTCTTTCTTTTTTTCCCACCTCCCTTGTTGCACACAGGATCCCTCTTACTGGCAGCGCATTTCTACAGCTTACCCAGAGCAGCCCCTCTCATCCCCAGCACAGCTCTCGGAGTCCTCCTGTTGATGTTATCGTCTCTTTTGGCGTACTCAGGTAAGGCTCGGAGGACGGCCAGCTTCAAGGCCTCCCCCTTCTATAGCTTCACTTGTATTGGGTCTGCTTTGCCAAGGCTCGGAGGATGGCCAGCTTCAAGGCCTCCCTCTTTTATAGCTTCACGTGTATTGGGTCTGCTTTGCCAACAGGTTCGTACAAACCCTTGCCAGACCCCCCATCCATTCTCCTAGAGGAGAATGTCAGCACGGCAAACTTCTCCTATGTAGGCAACCGAAGAAATCAATGTTAGTTATGAACGAACGCTTTCCCAGGGTGTCCAAGGGCTTGAACAGGCTGAATACACGATTTCTTTGAGGGGGGTTCCCAGGCTTTCCGAGAGTTCTTTAGGCACCCATGGGTCAACAGGACATGTTGATGCGTAAACGCCAAGAGATCTGCTTCACTGGCTGGAACGGAGTCCACACATTTTAGAATGAATGCTGCGTTATTTCTCCTTTGTACCTTGGAGCGATGAGGACATGAAAATCCAAGATCTGATGCTGATATTTTTTCCTCTTGTAGAGGAAAAGCAGAGAGCTTGGGAGAATCACTACACATACTTTAACCCAAAAAACATAGGTCCATCTCTTCTCTCAGTCAGTGGTGGCACAAGGCATTAGTAGAAAGCGCTTAGAAGCAGCTATGTTGATGGGACCATATGGGATGGACCACTGGGCAGGTGACCTTTCACAGCTGGTGGGAACCAACAGCCTCCCGCCAAAGGCAGGAATTTCTGTGCTACCTTCTTCCAGGAGATGCGTGCTTGTGTGATGACAGTCCTCTAGCTTGGGGACTCATTCAGCAGAGCTCTTGCTTCCCTTCCCAACTTGAGCCTGGCTCACAAAGCTCTATCAGTTTGAGGAAGGAATAACAGAATCATAGAATCCTAGGTTGGGAGGGACCTCAAGGATCATACATGAAGCACAGGTCCATTCCAAAGCTTGGAAGGGAGCTTTCAGGCCTATCTGTGCTGATCAGTACCCTCACGTAGTGACATGAGAAACATAGCAGTAAAAATAAGGGACTTTGTGACATTGTTTGGGGGTAGTAGAGGGGTTCCATTCCACTTGAATATTTTAAATCAAGGTCTTTGTCATTTTGGGGATCAGGATACCAGACAGAATAATTCTTGAGAAGGAATGAGTTTTGCAGCCCCTATGCTTCTGTCTTCTGAGAAGGCCCAATTATTTATGGGGATCCAGCAGCTTGTATGACCCTTGTGGTTCAAACCTTGGGCCTGACAGCTTTCAGCA